TTGGCCTTATAGACATCTATAGAGCACTTCACCCAACAGCAGCACAATATACATTCTTCTCCAGTGCACATGGAACTTTTTCTATGATAGACCACATGTTAGGCCATAAAGCAAGCCTTAATAAATTTAAAAACATTAAAATACTGCAAAGGATCTCCTCAGAATATAATGCTATGAAATTAGAAATCAACAATAGTAAGATCAACAGGAAAAGAGTAAACGCATGGAAACTGAACAACACTCTCCTTGAGAAAGACTGCTAAGAGAAGAAATCAAAATTGAAATTCGAAAATTCCTTGTTTCAAAGGAGAATGAAAACACAACATACCAAAATCTTTGGGACACAACACAAGCAGTGACCAGAGGCCAATTTATAGCAATAAGTTCACACATCAAAAAGAAGAGCCAAAATCAACTTGGACTTAAAGCATCCAAAGTGTAAGAGAATAAACTCCTGTTTGTTAAGGCCATCTCATTTGTGATATATTTCTATCAGAGTGGCACTAGGTAACCACAACACCACATAACATGGATGAACTTAGAGGACATCTGAAATAAGTCAATCAGAGAAGGACAAATATTGTATTAGTCCATTATTGTAAAAACTTAAGCAAAGGTTTATATATGGAAGGATATTTTCTTTGTTGGTTACCAGGGGTGTGAGCGGAGTGGAAGAAACACTGTTAGATAGGTAAAGACAAGTATTGATTTGGGTGAAGAGAAGGGCAATTGTTCTGGTTACCTAGTTCCTCTCTGACAAGAAATATACCACAAATGGGATGGCCTTAACAAACAGGAGTTTTTTCTTACAAGTTGGAGGCTTTAAGTCCAAGTTCAAAGTGCCAAGCTCTAGGGGCTGGGTGAAAGCCCCTCAACCTTGGAGTTCATCTCTGCACCCTGCTCCCGGCACACTGGAGCTAGAGGCTTTTCTTCGCTCAGACAGCTGCTGGCTGTTGAGGCTAAGAAGCCCCACGTTTGACAAGTAAAAAGGCACAGTCCTGATGTTACCAAACCACATGGAAGGCCACTGACTTAAGTCCATTGTAAGTCCCAAGGTTGGCAGAGCATAGCAGGCTGCTGATCAATGACTCGGCTACATGCAGGGTCCAAGCGTGCCATAGGCTAGAGACCATTCCCAAGGCTTTTCCTTATGTACAGGAAGCAGACCACATTCCAAAAGCAGCTACTCTGCTGCTTGTGGTAGATCCTGCCACGGTGCTGATTGCCAGTCTCATCATGGGGAATAACTACCACCAGCTACTCCATCAGGCCCAGCTAAGTTGACACACAAACATAACTACTACTGCAATGGACAAAATGTTAGTGATCAACACGGTGCCACTGAGGAAAAGCAAGACATAGACAAGTACATGGTAGGTACAGACAACAAAGATGAACCCTTTTGCGCATACAGTACTGCATTTTCAGTGAAGGCAAACATGGATATATGGATGGGTAGACAGGTGGACAGGCTAAACTACTAGGTATGTCTATGCAGGGGGCAGTGTGCACAAGACAATATAAAGGGCTGGCAGACAATGTTTCACAAGTGTATTGTTATGTTCTGGAAGAATTCCCAGCTGTATAGTAAAGCTGACAAGGGAAAAGGTTGTAGCTACTTTGGGCACAGCCAGCTTCCCAGAGGGAGTGAGTAGTTGGACC